CCTTCAATAGTAATTGAAATCATTGAACTACTTATTCTACTTCTCTTTCATAGTAAATTGAACACGTTTACATGTTTTTGTTGTTGTTGTTTCTGTTTCTGTTTCTGTTTTTGTTTTTTTTTCTCCACTTTCTTTCTTTCTTTTACTTTGCTTCATAAACTAAATGATGTTTTTGTTGAATTACTCTGCATCCTGATTAAACCTACATTTGTCATTTAGTAGCCCTACCTTTATCAATAATTCAAGTAGGCCCTAAAGATGAATGCAGCACACGAGCAAAGTGCGTATTCTTTTTATCATGTGTCTAGGCTGTTTTATGTACGGTTCGGTCCCTATAATTACTATTTCTAAAATGTGAGATATACAAAACAAATGATGCCGTGGACTTGATAGTTTATGTTCCCCGGTTTGAAATAAAAAATAAATGGGTAGCTGTAGTTTGCACTGTACTAATAATTCTCCGGCCTATTGCGTCTATCCTAATCATCAAGTTGCATGCTATCATTTATATTTTTTTCCCGTGTGACATGGCCGCATTATGCGCATTTATTTGACATTTATCTAGGAGAGAAAACTCTCACTATACATTTGAAATAATAATAAAAAAAATTCTCTTTCGCGTTTTACATCAATAAATTAAAAGTCTACTCCTATAGTATAACGAATAACAAGCGCTTGACGCTTACCATTTTAACCCGTATTATACCAGAAGTGCATTACACAATCATTAGAGATATTGGATGAGATTGTTGGCTTAACAAATCACCGTTGGTAGTTTTATGAAGATAAGATTTAATCTCAAGTTGTTAAAGAGAACGATTCGATCTTGAGTTGTTAAAGAGAACAGGATTGGCTCTTAACCCTCTGACTAGATTCAATATACCTACAAAGCTTATATACCACAGAATGTAAAGTATATGTAAACAATTTCAGATTCCGTCAAGTTCTGATTTCTTCATGGTATCAGAGCCGTAAGCCTCACGTCAAAATAGCATCCTCTTCTTCTACCCACCTCCTCGACTTCCACCACTACTCCTCGGGTTACATCGCATGGCAGGACCAGGATCAACTACTACTTGGCTGGATATTTTCCTCTGATCCAATGGAAAGTGTGCTCGCTCCGGTTGTAAGTTGCACAACATCTGCGTCAGTATGGTCTACACAACAATACTTGCATGCCTCCTGCGAGATCTCAAGCACGAGCTCACCAAGTCTCAACAAAGGAGAATTAAAAGCAGGGTTTGTAGATGCAGGCATTTGTAACCTTTATATATGTTTGCTACTACGCCTAAGTAGTAGAATGAAATTGAAATTTGTGTTGATCATCATAAGGTTAATCAACAAGATCGACCAAAAAGGCTTTCAAAATTTTATAATTTGGTTTTGTTTTGAAAAGTTTTTCCCCAAGGAGATGAAAGACCAATCGATCGCTTTGGAGGCTGGTAACGGATTCATGAGGAACGTCGCTATTTCAACCGCATCGACCAATAAACAAAATGAATTTGTATAGCTGCAAGGAATGTTTGAATTTACTGTTGGGATTGCGTCTTAGATTCTTTGTATAACTTCATGAGAATTAGATAGAGTTAGAGATCTATCATGATTAGGAGATTGAGTCTCATCATGATTAGGAGTCTTCATGAGAATTAGATAGAGTTAGAGATCTATCATGATTAGGAGATTGAGTCTCATCATGATTAGGAGTTTGAATCCTATTCTAATTAAGAGATCTATCATGATTAGGAGATTGAGTCTCATCATGATTAGGAGTTTGAATCCTATTCTAATTAGGAAAGTAGGCTAGAGATAGGATTTTGGTTTCCCTTTGTCCGTGCAAAAGATTGTAATTTGGAAGTGATAGTGGATTGATTTTAATCCCGTGGTTTTTCCCTGTTGAGGTTTTCCACGTTAAATGTGGTGTGACTTTATCTGCTGCGTTTGGTGGTTTTTTCGGAGTTTTTTGCGAGATCTAAAAATCCTAACATTTACTTTTTCCTCTTTCCACTAAAAGAGTACCATTACATCATCTCCTCCTTTTGCATCCATACTTGGTCTTCTCCTAGACATGTTTTTGCCTATATATTCTTCTTGTAACATCTCTTCTTGCAAAAGATATATTCAAGATCGAGGATCGCAATATTTGAAGGAATTGTGTCCTTTAATCGAATGTGCAATTACTAATTATGGTATGGGACATTTAATAGAGATTTACAATCCGGTTATTTTAGGTAGTCATAGTGCTTTGCTAGAAGCCAACTATGATTTATGGACTTTATGTTATAAAGTTCATTACTATTATAATTGGGTCCTACGAGGTCACACCCTAAGAGTTTATGGACTGGATATATTGGGAGAATTATTATATAAAGTATATAATATAAAGTTATATAAGATATAACTTCAAAATAGAGTTTATTAATAATAAGGAGTTATTGTTAAATAAAGGATAAATTTATTTATAAATGGTATAAAAGATAATATTTAATTATAGAATTAAATATGACTTTAATTTGTGGATTATAAATAAGAGTGGATTTTCTTTTAGAAAATCCAATCCAATTCCATTTTCTCTATATACGTGAAAGTGTTTCTACTTTCTCTCCCAAAAACCTTTCATCTTCAACCTAGCAGTTGATTTCTAAGGATCCAGATCTTTGCTCGGGTGGATCAACTAGAGGAGTTTTCAAGTGAGACTCTTAATCTCTCCATTAGAGAAGGCTTTGAACACGCATCAAGAGGTAATCGTTTTTCCTTTTTTTTTAATCCAATTGATTTATGCAATAGATCCTTCGTTTAGATGTTAGGAAAACGTTTCCTGCAATTCCGCTTAGAGCATCTAAAGTTTCTACAGTGGTATCAGAGCCTCTTGTATAAATTAATTGGATCAAATTTTAATCTTACAATTTGATGCATGTTCATGATTATTTAGATTCAATAAGAATAGATCTGATGTTTGGATTAATGCATAATAAATACGATTTATTTTATAAAATATTTGATATTTTATTTAATTGTTCTATAAGATCTATAGATATCTTATTTGGTTAATTTTGAATTAACATAAATATTTGATTCTATTTCTTGGCAAATTACTAATTAATATTAGATATTAATTCCATTCACAGTCTTATTGAATTAAAAATAATGAGAAATCATTTCTAATTTTAAATAGTTAATATGATTAATTATTTATGCTTTTTATTTGGATAAATTGCATGTCTTACTTGAATAACATTCCATATATGATTATTGCATGTATGTTTAATATTATGATATTATTGCATTATGTGAATGTTTTTATTATCTCTTGCCTTGCATGAATGCTTGTTTATTTATATTATTTAGTTCGCTTATATATAGACAACCATTACATGCTAAAAGTCCCTTAAAAGAATATTGAGATTATGCCTTTCCATGTCATAACCATGAGGCCCTTGGAATTCGTTGGATAGTTTTCGCCCTAGCGAGGTGTCCTTCCTTGACCTTGGGATAGTGCGGGTATGTCTAATAGGGGCATGCTGCCTTGATATGGTTATACTCAACAAGAGGCCAAAAGACTTAGTTTTAGATCTTGAGGCATAAGGATGAGTTAACATATGATGTGGCCATCAACCAAGAATTATAAAGTGTTATAATTAGTAAAGCATTTACTTACCTTGATTACATGAGATTTGGGGAAGTGCCTTAGTACGCTCAAGTTTCATCTAAGATAGGATCTTGGAATTATTTTACTCACAAGGGACAATATTATATTGAGTAGAATATGCAATAACTTGTTATTTAGAACATGTCTAAAATAAAGTTTTTTGCATTTCAAGCATAATTTATCTGCATATTTCAATTTCTGTTTTTAGAGTTACTATGTCTACTGAACACCTCAAATTCACGCTCCGCTCAATTGTTGATAAAAACAAGTTGAACGACACCAATTTTCTTGATTGGGAACGAAATCTGAGAATTATTCTCAGGTCTGAG